ACCGGCAACATCGAGGCTGATGTCAGCGTCCTTGAGCGCCAAGCAGACGAGTCGGAAGTGCTCGTGGTGCTGATCCATAGCATCGTCTCCGTCCTTCTCGCCGTCAAAAATCAAGACCACATTGCGGTGGCTGAAACAGAAGGTGTCGTTGACCTCGGGTCGAGTGACGTCTCTGAGAGCAGCCTCTAGCTTTGATGGTTCGGTCTGGGCATTGGCTGTGAGCCGTGTAAAGATGCTGCCGTTGAGGAGGGCTTTTGCTGTGCTGGGTTTGGATGGGGAGAAGATTGTGACGTTGGGCGGCAGCGCAGGTGCGGCAGGAGCCGAGGAAGATGCCTTTGGATCCATGGCGCCAGTTTTGAAGCTATTCCTGTGCAAAAGTGCCGTGCTGCAAGGTACTGGCTGTGTTGTAGTGTGTTAGCCGTTGGCCGGTCTAAGAAACGAGGCAGGGACTGGGAGCGCCTGCAAAGTTTTCAGGGATGACTAATTTGATGTGCGGAGAACATGTGGGGTTCACCGGTGCCGAAGAATACCGGAGGCGGTCCGATGCGGGTCTAGGAAGGCCGGCGGTGCAACTGTATCGTTCTTGGTCGTACATGCATCCTACGAATAAACGAATCAAATAAGGCATTAGGTTTTCAGACGTCGTTAAGTCTATGATTGTCTCAAAGTGCTCTCGTCGGAACATTCTTTAGACTCCGCCTTTCCGAGTCTAGGCGACCCTGAAAGGGAACATGAAGCATTCAACAGAGGTTACTGCTGCTTTCCCTTGTTGAGTTCTGCGTACTAACACGGTAATTTCAATAAATCTCTACGGAAGATTCAAGACTTTGGTGATTTGCCGTAAGAGAAGCAGCAATGAAACAAGGTGAGAATCATCACGTAGCACTTTCAAGGGTCTCGTAGAATTTAGCCTTGTTGCCCGCTTGACGAAGTTTTCTCACCATCCACCATGAACCTTTTTTGAATATGATAATAGCGGAAATGCCATCTCACTGAGAATTTGGGTGTGTAGTGATCGGCAGAATGATGCAAAAAGAGTCCTGAAAAGTCTGGGGTTTGACGATCAGGCCGATCGCGAAGTGTATGATTGGACTGTGCCGTACCGTGTGAACATGAGGTTTAGAACTTTCCACTTCTGCCCGACAAGCGCTCACCCCGCGTCATCCAAAGTGGCGCAAGCTACTTTGAGCGACTCTCATGACAAGTCATGGCCTGAGGTGGTCATCTTTGGTTGCGAAAGTGATGAGGCGTGACGACGTTGGGTGACTTGATCCTCGGCCAAGGACAATACAGGACCAGGCAAAACATTTAGCAGGGGAAATGATGTTCACGAACATTGCTTCCGGGAACCTGAGATGACGTGGATAACGTTGTGCTTTCGTCTGTTCCATCACACGAGCAGTGGCGGCCTTCACGGACTCAGAATTCTCAGTCTTCGAGGAGCATATAAACCCTCTAGATTTCTGTTGAAAATCTCGCACATCACCGAATTAAATTCTTCTGATATCAGACGGAAACAACCCCTCAAGTCCAATATCATCAAACGACTTAGTCGAATCGAAGAACCTACTACTGAGAACAATGGCCCCAAAGTTCGTTACACCTAATTACCTAGTTTCATTGATAAGACTTGCACTAATAAAAGAAAGTCACAGCTCGAGCAGACGCTTTTCTTTCTCTCTTTCTCCTGCTTCCAAGGCAGCAAAGCGAGTTCTTTCTCAGCGGTCAAATAATCGACGCTCTTTCGACTTACAGGCAATCTCATCGACGCTTGGCAATATGCCTGTCGTAGAGGTCGAAAATTACCTGACAGCACCGGCTGTCCGATGGTCAACTGCAAATCGGATTTGACTTGGATTGTCATGATTCAATATGTAAAAGTAGCTGTTGGATTGTCGCGAGAGCTGCAGGTAGTAGATACGGTGGCTAGCTTGGCCATGGCAGAACTCAATCTTGTTGGGTACCAAGGACTGCCAGGTAGGAATTGCCACATTCAAAGCCTCCACGTTGTTATTTAAATATTTACTTACATTGAAGTATCGTATCACCACTTGCCCCAGATTCTCATCTACGTAATCATGTATTGGAAATAATTGTCTCTAACCCCTCTTGCAACAGTCTTGGTGTCATTCAGATCTAGTTCGTTCAGTGAATGTACCTAAACTCTTCATCCTAAGTTGTATGTACTTCTAATGATGTATATCGGCATGGTCAGCAATGAGGGCGACGATGTCGGTCGCGGAAGCATCTGGGCTGATGCAACCTAGAATATGCTGATCTGGTCTGACCAGAATTGCACCTCCCTCAGAAAAACCACCTTTCGTATCGTACAGTTTTTGGTGACTGTCAGAAGTAAACTGGAAATCGACGTCCGCCCCCCAAAGCATAAGGCGAGAACTCATTTTGTTCCCAAGGGCCTCTTTGCAATCCTCAAACCGTTGTTTCCAAGCTCCTCGACATGGTACAATGAGAGAGAATGTATCTGCACTCGCCAGGTCAAGTGTAGAATAGCGTTGAGCTTCGATTTGCTCGTTTGATAGCTCTTTCACATACGACGTGTCGATGGGCTGATGCGAAATTTCACTTTCATCATTCGGCTCGGTGAATTTGATCCAAGCATGTGGCAACCTGGCTCCAACCTGGAACTTTGGCGTAAAGTCCGACGCATTCGCAGGTGGCTTCGTGTCACCGTACACGTACCCAATGTGAATTTCAAGCTGAAGGGGATCATGTCAATGCCTATTTTTAAAATCCAATCTGGTGAAGATGCACTTACGTTGTCAAAATGTTCACGTTGTCCCTCGACCTTCTCGGCGATCAAGTCCTGCTTGGCTGGGTCGTGGATGGCTTCATACATCCGTTTCCGGGCTTCGTCAAGGTCTTCAACATCTGCCGTCCCGATGGCCTTGAGGAAAGAAAAGATAGACTTCCCATTTTTGACACTCTGAGCTGCCGCGATGACGGCAATTGGTCGTCTATCAGTTTCATAAGTGTCGAGAATTCGTGGATTCGCCCAACCCTGGTGTACGGCGGCGACCTTGTAGGCAAGGTTGTGCGCGTCTGCCAGGCCAGAGTTGAGTCCCAGGCCACCAGTAGGAGGGAATGAATGTGCGGCATCGCCAACCCTGTAACGGTAAGTGTCAGCGCATTGTCATCGTGCAGGAAAATTCAGAGATGATACGCACAAGAACACGTTTCCACGACGGTATTCCTTTGCCACCTTGCGGCTTAATACCCATGGTCTAAAACTCTTGATCTGGATCGGTATCTTTTGTCCTATCGCAGCAGACACGGTGGCATGCGCGAGTCCTTCTGTCCATGTTTCCACCGGATGTCTTTTTGACTAGTCCAGCCAACGTCAGTAAACGAAGAGGCTAGCCTTCGGAATGAAAAATTTCTCCAACTTACATCAAAATTGCTGATCAAAACCTGGTTTCCATCTATATCATATGCAATGATAAAACCGGAGCAAGCAGGGTCGGCGATCCAATGCAGCATGCCAACACCATTCTTTACGATTGGCCGGAGATTCGCATTAAAGTGAATGGTCATCATTGTCTCATCTATATTCTCTTTGTAAGCTGAACTGCATGTCGCGAACAACAAGAAAACTTACATCCATCTTCCCCCTCAGTCTCAATCCCTAAAAAACGTCGGACTTGGCTTTTTGCTCCATCGCAGCCAACAACGTGCCTGGAGGTAACTGTCCAACGACGCTTCGTGGAGCGCTCTTCAACGACGGTCGTCACTTTATCGCCTCGCTGTACGGCAGTCGTCAGTATCTCGCCTTTGGAGTTTCTAAAAGTTCCCGAAGCTTTCTCTACTTGCCTGCTCACACGAAACGAAACCAACCCCTTTTCGAATCTCAACATTTGGGTCGTTTTCTAGACGTTTTGCAACAAATTTCTCAAAATCGGGTTGCGGGATATTGTGGATCATCTTCAGTAATACACATGTTAGTAATTGACTTTGAAGTCGATGGGTGACGAAAATCCAATTACTTCCATACCTCAGGTGTACTCTCTAGGACACCAGCGTCCATCCGCTCATACGGAAGGACACCAATCTTCTCGCCCGTGAGGTTCGTCAAGAAATTGACCCAGTAGGCATCATCACGAGGTGACCCTAATTGACGTATCGCTCTTGTGTCAAGTCCATATTGTCTACATATTTCAAGGGTTCTCGGGCTCAATGCATGCGCTTTAGGTGCAGCCAGCCGTTCAGGATACTTCTCAATGAGAAGCGATTTCACTGTAAGCTGTTAGCGTTCTACCCCATCGAACTGGGAGAGCCCACAATTGCACAGGCCTACGTGCCAGTACTTACCACCATGTTTAGACAACATGTATGCTGTGAACAGACCAGTCGGACCACCGCCTGCGATGAGAACAGGTACCTCCACTGAAACATCTCCCACTTGAACATTGTCTGGTTTCAAATTACAAGATGAGAAGTCAACCTTGTAAGCGCCCTCTGGGCGTGATAGCTGGGCGATTTCAAGCATCATTCCCGCCGGCCAAACTGTTTATTATAAAAGACAGAACTATCTCTGCTGAAGAAACTGGGGAAGACGACAATACGGTCGTCTTTATTGCGGAAGACCGCCGATGGGATATGCTGGGAGGCTTCATCCCGAGGCGCAACGTTTCCCGACGGACGGCCTCCTATTCGCTGGAAGCGCTGGTCCCGAACGAGTCATTCCGATTCGTCCAATTTTCTGGGGTAAACGTCTGAGCGACATCGACGTTCATGACGCTTTGTGATCCTCTCACTGCTCAGAAACTTTGACCGAAGCTTCCTTGTCTCACAAACACCCCTCAAGGGCGAACCCCCTGCATGCCATGCCCCAGATGATCGTTCCGCTCAGCCCGCCGTACTAGTGAGCTGTAGCCTCATAGCCCCGAAGCCCCGCTCATGGTTCGCGTTTCTTTTTTTGTGCTTTCCTCTTTCAACGTTTACCAAAAGTTCCAAAACCTCTGCGCTTTTGCGATCTTATCAAAATGGAGACGGAGATCCCCACTGCAGCCTTTGGATCATCGGACAACCCGAACTCTGGTAACAATCTCAAGAGGAAGCGAAGGCCTCGTGCGCCGATAGCTTGTGGTACATGCCGGGCTCGTAAAGTCAAGGTCGGTCAAGCTCTGATGATGCCTTTAACGAACAGACATGTTAACCACATTCCCTTCAGTGTGATGGAAGTTCGCCATGCTCCAATTGTGTTCGTGAGTGTGTTGTCTTTCCCAGGTAGTTACTTTTGATGACTGACATGACCTCCCAAAGGACACGAATTCTCGTGCTCGTACAAAGAAGGACAGGAAGACCCGTATGTGAGAGGAACACGATGAGTTCTGGTTGGGGCTAACTCATCCCACAGACCGAGTAAAAGGTCATCCTCATACAATCCCACCGGCCGCCTGCAACAACGTTTGCAGCCTCAACCTCAGCTGATACCTCAGCCACAGCCATCATTGCCTGAGCATCTTCACCCATCACCAGTTAGCCTAGATGAACCAATTAAGCACGAGAACCCGGTCCAGCTGAACCCACAAGAGCCAAGCCGCATGGATAGGGGCTCATCAACATCTTCGGAACAAGAAGTAGACGGCCTCGGTCAGGTCAATGAGCACACCGAGGGTGCCGAGTTTTACGGACCCACTGGGACATTTAACTTCCTCGCCCGGCTTCGCTCTCGGGCGAACACACAGAAGCAACCGAAAGCCGGCACGCACCGTAAGCAAAGCTCCATTGTAAATCTCCTGCACAGTTCGGATTACTCGACGCCTCCGGACTCTCGGATTCTCGGTCAGAACCAGTTTGCAAAGGCAAGTCCGCAGAGCAATGGCGGCAGGAGGGAGTCGTATCAGCAAGGCGTTGTTGCCGATGTCGTTCTTACCGCGGTGGATGCCGCGTTTGCGACTGAGCTTGAGCGGGAATGTGTCCGCCTGTACTTCCAAAACTTGCACAACATCCACCCGATCCTCGAACAGATGACCTTTCTCAAAAGATGTGAGGATGAAATATGGTCGAGGCTTTCGAGGCCAGATATGATAATCTCTGCACAAATGCGTCGGGAGGCGAGGTTTCTGGCACTGTACAATGTTGTCATTGCTATCGGCGCTATTACCGCGGGAGAGACGTCCTTACTCATGGAAGACCACACCAAAGAGTTCTTGGACCGGACTGGGCAAACCAGCGACGAAGAAGCACTCTACCCACCTATCCGATTGGCAAGAAGATTCTTCGAAAGGTCAAGGCTTCACCTTGAAGACATTTGCGAGTCGAGTTCGCTTGAAACTGCGCAGACACTATTCCTCATGGTCAGTTCCAGGCAAAACGTTCAACGCGGAGGTATTCAGAGCTAGTTGGCTGACTTGGAAGCTGCAGTCGGTATTCGGTCAAAATGCGTTGAAGCCACATAGCTGCTACATGTATAGCGGCATGGCGATAAGGACTGCGTCGGCCATGGGTATCCCAACTAATACCCGTTCCGAGACAAGCCCGGAAAGCTTGCTTTGGTGGTAGGCAATCGCGAACACGCTCGTAGTTGTATGCAGTGCTAATGTATCCAGGTCTCTTTACTCACACGAGATGTAAGTTGCGCACCGTACTCAGTTTTGTTAATTTGGAACGCTAACCATTCAGCGAAATGTGCTTTTCTGCTGGGCGTCAATCGGGACTACGTGCTCCGAGCTCTTACTCAATAAGTCAACATACCCACTTCCTGGCACCCCCCTGTTTCTGGCACCCACAAAAACGCGAAAATCCACCACAACCCAATGCCCACCCCCAACCTCCTTTTATCACAACATTTTCAATTCGCGTCCAAATGGGCTCATCTTTTGCACATGTCTTCTTCTATATATAATGCCTCAATATACCGAAGATCAGCTTCGTCAGGCTCTCGAGGA